GGTGAGGCAGCGAAGGAGACTAGCAAAAGCATAAAACAGAAAGAATGGAAATATAAAAAGTAATACAATACAAAGTAAGAAAAGGAAAGAAACCTGAAAAGGCCACCGCCGTCGATACCCGCTTCTTCAAGTCCCTGGTCGTTTATAAGTCTGACGCGAACTCTTTGCTTTAGATTTGGTGCTAAAATCAAAATCACATATAAAGATCTCATTACACAACCTCGCTACCAGGTCCTTTTCCCGCCGTTTTGAAAAAAACGAGCAGAGAAGCCCTGAGAACGAGGAAACGTTGTCATAGGTCCTCACGAAAGATTTTTACCACACTTGTGTAAATTCTCGCGCTCTGATTGGCTGATTAGAGTGTGTTAATAAAAGGATATGCACACTTCACGAGCGCGCTCAGTTGAAGGAAAATAATGTTTTTCGCTAATTTTTGGACTTAAAATGTGGTAAAAAACAAATTGCACACGCGGTTTTTTGTTGTACTTACATATAAAAATTAAAACCGTGAGTAATTTGTACATTTTACGTATCATCGAAGGAATATGTCGTTCTTCACCCTAAAGACTGATTCCTTCCTTGATTCTAGTGAAAATTGTTCCTCCATTACCTCGTTCTTCGCTGAGAGCATCGAAGGCGTCTTGATACAAGTACTTTCTATGAATAGTGATGTCAATCGATGGACCCATCATGAAATTTTGCAATTCTCCTTGGGCGTAGTTTCGATCTTTGTTGATAATACGTTGTAGAAGCTTGTTACAAGAAATTTCAAGGCATTAATTATAATAATCAATAATTAATCAAAATTATTATTGTCAATTTGTATAGAAAATCGCACGACCTTGAGTACGATTTGGAATTAATAGTCACGAGTAATGAATGAAAGTTCTTCGTAATTGCACGAGCCCGTTAGGGCGAGGTTGTGTGATTTTTGTCTATAGTACATTCAGTAAAACAAAATTTTATAAGGAGTACAATTAATGCTGTAATAGGCCGTTTGCATTATGACGTAACTTTACTACAACTACCAGAGAGCCTTGCGCATTATCATTGTTATTCAGATTTGTAACTCCCTTGGAGATTAATAAAACAATTGGCACTAATTGCATTACAAAACAAAGTTAGCAAAGCATTCTGGTAGTTGTAGTAAATGACGTCATATAATGCATATCGCCTATTGTACTCCTCTCTACCAATGAAAAAGTATTATTTTGTTGAATATAATATAAATGTAGAAATTACGAGTTCGTGTTTGATTAGTATACACAGCGTTCTCTGGTGCACTCCTCTGAAATGAAATGCATCGATACCCGTCCCCGCTCCAAGCTACAATCCTAGACAAAATTGAATGGGACAGAACGCTATTACTGCGCTCTAGCAGATGCACTCTCTTATGGGCTGTGCTAATGCTTACTCAAAGTCTCCCCCCTCCCCCCACAGTCAATGTTGGTTAACAATGTTGTTGGCGGGAATGTTTCGGTATGAAAGGAGGGTTTGTTTCGAGCCCAACATTGGAAATGGGGGGCCACGGGGGAAAATTGTCAGTAAGTTTTAGTAGACATATAGACATACATTTTGTCCCATGAATTTTGTCCATGATGAATTTTATCCATTGTAGGACCTTACAACAAGGATTGTGGTCCACAAGGTTGTTTTGATCAATGGATTGAGTAAAACAACTCACTCAAGTCTCTTCAACCTACCATGACTCTATCCCTGAATGGCACAACAAAAGGTATGTGTTGAAGAATAGACATTTGTCTTGTTGTCATGGCTGACATTCCCAACTGTATTACACCCTCTGTGGTTCCCTCGTCGTCCATGAACCCGTCAATTCTCATCTAGAAGAGAGTATACATTGTAGCCTTAGTATCTTTCACTAAGACTCAAAGCACATCCTCGGGAACCCAGGGGTAATATTCTGTCACTCGTTCCTCATTCCCAGAAAATTACCCCCGGGTTTCCGAGGATGCGCAAAAACATATCTTCACGCTAAACCCGAGCTCAAGCCCAAGCAGAAACAGCAAAACAAGGATAATTTTTGTACGTCCTTTCATATGTTAGGTCGTTGCAGAACCTACTACTGGGAGCGTCAATGAAGTAAAATGGTTTTCACAGTCGTGTCTATTTTTAGATTTTTCTTCGACCGATCCGCGGGAAACCAAATGAAGTCATAAACAAACATGGCGGACAATAGTAAGAACAAATTGTCTCCTGGTTCTTCTGAAGTACGCAATAGCTAAGAGGTTACTACTAAACAGACGACTGCAGAAAAATCTAAAAACAGAGACGTCTATGAAAACGACGTGGCACTCCTATAATGACGTGGACGCTCTTTGCTTTCTTTTTTTTACTACTTGAGTTCTATCATAATAGAAATGAGACATATCACAAGAAGAACGTAGTATAAATCTGGATATGCGCGCTATATAAATAATAATTAGTACTGAAATGACTTTTGTCTTGTGTTGTACCACTCACTTGGTTTGGATCGATGTGAACTTTCTCWGACAGCCAGTGGTTCTCAGGGCAAAACTGCCTTCTTGTGTCACGCGAATGAAGCTGCTTTACCAAATGTGTCACTTCCTGGAGATTAAGGCATGCGTATTAGGTAATTACGACTGAAGAAAAATATGGCGTTTGACAACTTATTACGCATGTCACGTAAATTGTAGGCTCAGTCTCCAGCCGTCGGGATTTCGTGCGCCCGCGAKACTCTCTCCCCTGACGGCTGGGCGCATGGGGTTCGYTATTGTMRGTYTHGACCAATCAGCGAGTGGCCCCCGATATTTTCAGGGGCATATCATTAATAAATTAGCAGGCAGCCGTTGTCGCAGTGTAACAAAATGGCGGACAATTCGTCGTTTGAGATTCTCGTTCGAACGCTCTGAAGTCGTTTAGCTTGGAAGAATTTAGAGAAATACAGCAAAAGGCTCTTAAAGAGATTGCTCTTGGAAAAGATGTCCTTGTTATTCTTCCTACTGGCTCGGGCAAATCTCTTATTTTTCAAACAGCGCCACTAGTGTATTTTGCTCGTCTTTCTGGCATATAATATATCCATTTGGATTATTAAACCCTACACATGTTTTACTTGGGGTAATTTGCATTCCTTTCTCTTTTTTAAACGCTAACTATCCTATTACATTATATCGCTACTTCGCGAAGTTTTCATTTCACATAATTTCCCGCCTTGTAGCAAAACCTTTTTCAGATATTTCACTTCCGTTCACTGAAAAATTCACTTTCGTTATTCATAATATGCTAATTACACAAAAAACGTCACGGACATGCGCGACACGTTTCGAACCCCATGCGCCCAGCCGTCAGGGGAGAGAGTATCGCGGGCGCACGAAATCCCGACGGTGAAGACTGAGCCTACGTAAATTGTAAACTACTGCAAACTCTCGTTATATCACAGGCCACCCAACCATTGCTTGAGAGAGAGAAAACAAATGCGCCGATCGTTATTTTATGTGAGCGCGATCTTAGCAAAATGCGGATTACCTGTGTTGTTACGTCACGGTCCCGTTCATCGCGACTTTATACTCTAGTCAGTCAGAGCATGCTGTCAGTCAGTTAGTCAGTCACAGACTACAAGTGTAGAGCCGCGAGGAACGGGACCATGACGTAACAACACAGGTAATCCATATTTAGCTAAGAGCGCGCTCAGATAACATAACAGTCGGTGCATTCGTTTTCTCTCTCTCAAGCAATGGTTGGGCGGCCTATGGTTATATCGAACACCTTTTGAACTGTCATCAAGTGTTTGCAACAGCAAGTGTCCGATGTAAAGAAACTTTAATTGCAGTAATTTCTTTAAATAGGCATATGAGTTCCAGGAATAACGGGGTGCCAGCAATGCAAGTAATTTCAATTAATCGTAATAAAATATAATAAGTTA